TACTGCGCTCCGGTATTCCACCATACTGTATAGGGTGGAGGCCGTCATCTATGGACGCACGCAGTCTTGATAGAATAATTCTAGAGTTTTTCCAAGGCACTGAGAGAAATTATCCTATATGACGTTTGGATGAAATGGAGGTTTCAAGAAAGCGCATAAACCCTCTTCCAGCCGAAGGGAGTGTGTCTAGTCGCAAGGCAATCCGCCATATGCTGCTGGCTAACAATACAAAGCCATAATACACGATTAAATTGAGAGAGGTTACAGTTCTGTTCCTTGGAAGGTTGATGTTATAATGGGAAGGTTACAGAACTGTATCCTTATAGCTTATATAATTCGTTATTCCTTTGAAAAGTAAGAAGCTGGATTTGAAAGGTTGGAAAGGTTCGAAGTTTGACATTTCGGACAGTTCAGAAAGTGTAACTTACAAATTATGGGGAAGTTACAAAAGGTTCATATTAAAATACTCATACATAGAAATTATCATTTAGACAAAGCACACAATCTGATGATGTTAAAGGAAACGCAATTTGCCCGATCTTGTAAAATATGAGAGGATAAAAAATTATCATTTAGACAAAGCGCACAATCTGATGATGTTAAAGGAAACGCAATTTGCCCGATCTTGTAAAATATGAGAGGATACCAAAGGGAGTTGATGCAAAGGTTTATTTTTTTTTAAGACAGATTTTTTCTGTAGACATTCTACTTAATTTAGTTCAAGATAACCGAGGAGGTTTCATTTTTCGCCGATCAGTGTTTTTGGGTATTGAGATATAGGTTACAAATCTGTTACCTTTTGACTCAAGAAAGGTTACAGGTCTGTCTACCTACACATAAGTTTTTTTGAGAAGGTTACTTGCTAAAATAAATTGTAAGGAAGGTTACATAATTTCGCAGAATCCTTTAAAGCTTGCTTAGCAGGGCTTATTTTTCTGCATTGTTTACTGTGGTTAAAGATGAGTTTCGTTGACCCAAGTGAAAGTTACGATAATTAACCTTCGCATAATTTTCTTGGAAGTTCTAAGCTGAAAGAAGGGGAGCTTATAGTGCAGTCTATACGATGCCCCAATTTTCTTATATCTAGAGTAGGTTACATCACTGTTAACTCAGGATTTGTGTTGAGTTAATATCAAAGTGAGGTTTTACTTACTACTGATTATACGTTACAATACTGTATCCTTATATTAACCCATATAAAAAAAAAGGTAGCAGTAATGTTACCTAAAACAAATAAGTAGAGGTTATGTGGATGACATTCATAAGCTATCAGACTGAAATGGAAAAAGGTTACAGTATTGTTTACTTTCTTTTTTCTGTGTGTTGTGAACTTATAGTAGTTTACAGTATTGGTAACTTATAATCAATAAAAAAATATATAACTATTGTCAGCAGCTGAGAAGGTTTTATAATAATTTTTCAGTTACGGTTTTATATTTTTTAAATATTATTTAAATTTTAAATTAACAACTAATAAAGTAAGTTACTCTTGTAAGTAACCTTATTCAAGGGGAGGTTACAGAAGTGTTTCCTCGTTAAAATATTTTATCTATTGCGTATGTCTCGCTTAAAAAAATGGTTACGATACCGTTAACTTCTATTTTAAAAAATCGATGCAGTGTTTTTATTGTAACGGAAGGTTACGGATTTGTTATCGCATAGTAATGTTTCTTATCAAGTTTGGCTTGTTTGGCCCGTCAGTTCAAGGAGACAGAACTGTTTCCTAATAATTGTAATTTTTATATATACATCATGTCGAATGTTGGTAGGTTATAGTACTGCTACCGTGTTCAAAATAAGGTTACTGTTTTTATTCTTTCAAGCTATTTCTTGTAAAGTCTAAACTTACGATATTCATCTTTAGTGAGGTTAAGAGTTTTTTCAAAGAAATATTTTACCCTGAGAAGAAGGTTATGTTGTAGAGTAAGGTTATATAGCGGCTTGTCAGTAGATAGGGTTACGTAACTGATCCCTATATGACTATTGTTTCGAATGTTGTGTTTTTTAACACTCCCTAAGACTGAGGCAGGGCTTAAAAAAAGCTAGTGTTTCAGGCCTTATTGGCCTTATGTAAACCCGATCTGGAGTTTCATAACAGCAGTATTTTCCTCTTTCCTCTCTTTTTTACATAACTGTTTTAATTGCATCTTTTTAGAGGCTGTGGACGAGTGTCTTTTAGGTAGTTTTTTTTTTTTTTTTTTTTTGCAAAACCGGGCCGAACGAGAGAGGATGGACGTCCGTTGGATAACTGGGAAAATGCATGCTTTCTTCACCTATTCTCGATCCCACCTCGTGGAGTTCAGATGTACTTTCACTGTTTATATTCCCATCACGAGACATCCAGGAAAGGTTCTTCAAAGCCGGGTAACCGGGCTAAGTCCCCTCCTCCGTGCTTCTCGCAACCGTGTGCTCGGCGAGCTTTCCTAATTCACGAGCACACGGATTTTTGTCCGATGCAAAACATCCACGATGGAGGTTCCTAATTGACAAACTATTCATATGATTTTAAAAAGTTAAGACCTGCTTAAATAAATACGAAGTTGATTTAAAAAAAAAACCTCCGCTACTAAGTTTTGATATAAAAAATGCCTCATTATAATATAACAAGAATAATTCATAGAAAAGCACCATATCAGTTGTAAAATACGGAATCCGGCCCGGAGGACCAAATGTTTTATTCCGGACGCTCTAGTGAATGTGTCTGTTTTCACCCGTTGAAAGTGGGAACCTTTTATCTTTTGTTTCCTTTTCCCAGATTAATTGGCCGATCTTTGAAAGATCCTTCCAATTTTCCCTTTCAAAAAAAAAAAAATAAAAAATAAAAACTTTAAAAAGCCAATTTTTATAAAAATGTCCTTAGTCTAGATCCTCTAACTATTCATCATAGATTTTATTTTGCTTTTTGAAACTCAGTATGAGTGGACAGATTCAACGAATCGTAACCTGTTCAAGACTTTAATACAATGGTCCAAATGATAACCTGACTTACCTTTGCGATTTTTGTAACCTTCGTTTTACTTTTATAAAACCTTACTTGTCAGACGGTTTATAGAACGATTGTAGTCGATCGTTTTCGGCTATTATGTATAATCTATTCTCGTCTGAGAAATAAGCTCGTTTCAGATATTAGTCTTGAATTATTACGCTTTATTTTTATTATTAGGAGGGAACGTTACATACCATTCAAGGTTTCAGAACTATTTTCCAAGTTAAATTAACATTGGCAGGTTACAGTACTGTTAATAGCTTCTTCAAAATAAGATGAGGTTACTTTTTTAACTAATTGTTCATTTACTACGTAGTTGGTTCTCGTACCTTATCGTCATAAACATTATTTTGGCTATTATTTTGAAATATCCATCGTGCAATTTTTCTTTTTTTTGGTAAGATTAAATTTCCTAATTTAACCAAAATTTCACATTTGACGCATTTGTTTTAGAGGTAAAAGCCTTTTCGCTTATATTTCAGGCTATGGTTCTCCTCAGGTGGAATTAAGTTCTAGTGAATTTCCGGTTAAGTACCAATTTCTAATGTAGAAGTCTTAGGTTCAATACGTCTTGTGAATATGGAATAGAAGCAGTACAAAAGAGTCCTGCCCAGTTAAAAAAAAAACTTGCCCATTTGCTCTAAAGCCTTAATTTCAGACGTCTTCCTTGCTAAGGATCGACTTGTTATAAACTATTACCGATTTGTATTAAGGTAACTGATTAGACGCCTTTGGCTATTAAGCCGTTTTAAATACCACTAATCAATATAGTGTTTTAAGCGGACCGTTCAGTTCCATTAAGTACCTTTTAAAAAAGCCTATTATGTTAAGAACAAGTATGTAGACGGAAGTCCCATTTAGTTTTTAAAAAAGGGTTGAGTTCCTTTAGAACTGTTTAAGCACCAAGTATCATGGCTACTGGCACTTACTCGGAATCTTTAAAACCTTAATGAAAATTAACAAAAAATGTTCCATTAAGTACCAGTTAGCAAGTTATTGAGTATCTCAGCTATTGTGTTACCTGCCTGTATATGCAAGTATTGGCGACTATACCAATAATTGTCAATAATTTTAATAATTCCAATTACCAATAATAAGTTACATTTTGGGAATAGCTATTGTACCCGGGTAATATACTAACAAATATATAACAGGTGATTTGGATTTATTAACTATATATAACTGGCTTTAGTATTTAACTAGCTTTTTCATTTCATTCAAAGCTACGTCATTTTAAGTACCACCGTGGGTGAGAAATTAACAAAGTACTGGCGGTTGATAAACCGTCTCTCCAAGTTCCAGTGGTAATTGTAAATATTTACCAGTACGTATAAGTACTAATGATTTTTTTTTAAAAGTACGTTATAGCGAAGGTTATAATTTTATTACTAAGTGCTGTTAAAAGAACGGTTTACTTTTAAGGTACTATTAAGTACTAGTGGTCGTCAAATCGTTAGAACACTAATATTAATACTTCCCCGACTTGTGAAAGACATACAGATTGTGTATCGTGATAGTCAAAACAAAATTGACCATTAAGTCCAGCTCAACGTTTTGTAAATGATAGTGTGTATTAATTACTGTTGGTTGTACCGCAAATTGTTTTAATTTCTATTAAGTACCAGGTTATTTTGAAAAATGTTTTAGTTAGGTATTCAATTATTGTATAAATGGCTGTACATTTTAAGTTCCTGATTTGTATATAGGCAACTGCTTCAGAACGGTCTTTGTTCTCAAAGCGCATGTTACATAAGACGGTCAAAGTTCGAGTTCTTTTAAGTACCGGTTTGATTAAAAAATATACGAGTTAAAAGTAGGGGTATTTAATGGATTAAATGTAAGATCGTTTACATTTAAATCCATTAAGTATCCGCTATTTTGTCGGATGGTTGGGAAACATTTGGTTTCGAATTGAAGTTCCCATCATGGGGAAATTTGTTTGTTTGTTCGCATATTTCCCCTCGATCTGTTTGTGAAGCACTTAGGAACTTAAGAAAACTTTATCGGTACTCACTAAGTTCGCCCCGGTGTTCATTTCCTCCGTGGTGGACCAGTATGTCGCAATGTGAACGTCGATTCTGTTGTCGAACTCACTTTTTGGCCAAACGTATCGTACTCAGTCGCACTCAAAACTGCGAGACACCATACCGCGACCGTGGTTGCCACTCGACTGGCGACTTTCACTCCGACGGCAACTCAGCCCGTCACACATCCCCACCGGTCCACCACTCGGTTCGATGTTCAAAACCCCGTGGAGGCATCCGGCCCGGAGGACCCAAAGAGAATATAAATACTTTTAATCTTAGCCTAATTTTGTGTTCATCAGACCCCGAGGATCAAAAGTGCATCATAAATTTTATGAACGATAACAATTTGTTAATTTGCAGTTTTTCTGAATACTTTTTGTCTTGACACGTGTCTTACCTAGGTTAAAAACAGGAAGGTTATACATAGACAGGTTTTCGAATCTTCGCATTCTAGATACATTGGCAATAAAATTTAAGAAATAATCCAGCTTGGGAGACAAAGTCCATTAAAAGGTAGCATAACCTTCCTAGTAGGTTAGGGATAATGTTATGAGGTTATAAAATACGTAAGAATATAAACGTTTGTCTATTGGTTATTTTATTTATTGGGTCACTCACATAGCATGACTTGAAAAGGTTTTAATCTACGCTTCTGGTAGGTTTTATATTTTAATAATGAGTTTCTTGATTACCTTAATTAGATAGATTGTGTTGTTTTGCTCGCCATTTTATAACCTATTGAGTTGTAGTTGGAGAGAGCCTGTTGGGAGGTTAAGAAGAGGTTGGCTTTTGTTGACGTACTTTCTTAGTTACCTTACCATATAGGTTTTATCGTGATAACCGGGTTAGATTATTACTTAAGCAATCCTGTGATATTTACATTTGGTCCTCCGAGCTGGACTGTTTTACAATGAAAATAATAGGCTCTTTTATTTAAGTCAATTATGCATCGAAGGTGCAATCTTTCCCTGATATATCCGGCCCGGAAGACCAATGTTTTTAAAACTTTATTTTGTGTGTTATAGTAAGGTGGAAGGATAGTTGGCAAATTAGGAAAATTTAGTCGTATTCGATGTGTTGTTTCACAAAGACCCATGATGTTCTTCAGCCAAGAAATCCCAGGTCAATTTTATATAAATTTTTTTACATTTAATATCCGGCCCGGAGGACCAAATTGTTTTTTCCCTTTCTTACAGGGGCGCTCCCAGTCTTGCATCATCTTCAAAAATATTCTCCCGTTGAATTTGTTTGTTTAGAATATGGATTGCAACTTTCTGTGGTATTCTGCATGCCTCCCAAAAATTAAAACTAACGTGCTTATTTAAAAGCTGAATATTTTCAACATAAGTTGTAAATCATGGTTAAGGTTAGTATTGTTTCATTGGCCTGCTTATGGACTTACACTTTCGACTGGAACAGTCAGTTTCGTTTTTAAATCGAAACGTCTAGGATCAAGGGTCAGTGTGGCATTGGGCGAGGCCGTCCTCGGCCCCAGAGGCTTTCTCAGTCCTTAACCTTTTACCAGGTGGAAGTTCTGGTTTTGAGCCTACGCCCCGATTCGAAAAAATCGGTTTCGAAAGCGGAGTTTACAAACTTAAATTTAAATTATAAACTATTTGTTGCAAGCACTATGACAAGACATGATCAGTTATAGTGTTTGCAACACCCTGTACAACTTTTTCTCCCCCAACAAAATCCTTTTAGTTAAAAAAAAATCTTCACCTATTAATTCGCAATCGTTCTATTTGAATTAAGCCGTCCCAATAAGTGGATTTAGTCTATTTCAAGGTAAAATAAAAGGGAGGCGAGTTGGTATGGCCAATCCCGAGTCTTGTTACTGTAATTAACAAGGGGTGTGCTGGTTTAGATGAATTTCCTTTAAAAAAAAATAAAAAAAAGCACAATGAAATCGTACGAGCTTACGTTCAAATTATTCCGTTAATATCGCGTATGGCCTATTCTCTTTCTTTTTACCCCCTCAAAAATTGATTCATTAGGATCAATTCGATCTTGCCTTGTCAATTCACAAACTGAAATATTGTGACCCAGGATAACAATTTAAAAAAATTCTCATGCTTGATCATTCTTGCAATTCAATCATGAATGATCATACTGAATCAAACATTAAATAAAACAAAATGTAAAACATGCATAATGAGACAATTTTTTAAAATTATCCATATCAAGCTTTATTCATTTCTATTCCCGGGGTGTGACATATCCTCAGATGCGGAAAATATTTTTAAAAATTCGGAAGAAACTAGTGGCTGAAGTTTGTCAGATGTGCCTCCATGATTTTCACCGGTCCGAACCGAACCCGCCAGATAAGAAGCCATCATGATCTTGTAATATGATGAGTGTGATGATCATCCTTTGATTATAAAAAATCGTGAACGATCGTACTGCGTTGAGACGATTATTTAATTATCCAATTATTACTATTAATTTATCTTTTTGTTTTAAGTGGCTGGGCCTTTCGAAAATATGAGATTTGTGTGGCCTATTCTTAAGTTGAACGCTGACAATTTAAAAAAAAAAGTGGGTCAAATTTGATAGGGGTGCCCTGTTTTTCTCCGTTATGTAGAAACCCGCCAGATAAGAAGCCATCATGATCGTGTAATATTTTCAGAATGATCATTCTATGATTGGGAAAACCCATAAATGATCATGCGTTGAGACGATTTAATTGTTCATTCAATACGTTTTTGCCTGTTTTGTATAAAATGGCTTGGCATTTGTAAAGTAAGTTATATTTGTGTGGCCTATACTGGAACAGGAAAATTTCTAAAAAAGGATAAAAGACGGAAGAGTATTCAAAATTTGACAGGAGACCTCCGCAGTTATCACTGGTTACGATAAGATAGATCAATCCATCAACATTTTGTACTATGACCATTCTATGATTGGAAAAATCAAGAATGATCATACTGCGTTACCTTTTTGTAAAAGTGGCTTGGCAATTTGAAATTTGTGTGTCATATACTTCTGGCAAAATTTGACAGGGGCCTCCTGTACACCGTCGAACTGTTTATGGCTTCATGACCGTGAATGCAAAAAAAAGGGTAATTTAAATCATTGGATAACCGTATGGTTTAAATTACCCTTTCTATAAAGGTAATTAAAGTGTTTTCATATTAAACGTATCTTCACAGTTAACTTTTTCCTAATAGTTTCGCAAAATTTAAAACTGATGAAATAATAATAATTTGTGTGTGTGTGCGGTTTTTGCGTTGAAAAGAAACAAACAATTATTGGAATTAATTTTGGATCCAATCCAAGTCTCTAAATATCAGAATGCGTTTAAAAATGTGTGGGTCTTAGAATGAACCCTTGGGATACACCCGATTTCATGAAGATCTGTAGTGGGTGTTAATCACAAATAATAGCACTGATTATCACTGATTATAATAACCGCCAAGAAAATTGAGGATGTCCTGTTACCGGTTAAAGGTGTGGCCCTGATGTAAATGTGATTTCTGATATATTATTGATGATAGTACAAGTGTTCAAAGTTCTGACGGTTTAATATGTTGTCTTTGTATGTACCCTTGAGATAGATAGTAGTCTAAAATGTGGAGTCAGTAGGATTATTGTTAAAAAATGTACCGTCCGTAGACTGATCCTTGGGATGCAAGTCCTTAGTCAGGATGAAGTTTGGGGTAGATTGGGATGATTTGAAACAAATCCAGGCACCTTTAGGATATGTCTGAGGGCATCCTCGGTCCTAGAAAGTACAGGTCTTAGGATGTACCCTTGTGATACACGTTAGTCAGGAACTAGCAGGGCATATTGAAGCTATGGCCAGGTATCGCTAGTAACTGCCTGGGGGCATTAATAGTTCTAAAAATGAAAGGTCCTAAGATGACCCTTGTATACTTTCTTCAGGATGAGGGTGTGTTGGTCTAGTTGGTTTGCGAAATAAAAAAAACTGCTTATATTTTACTTTAAAAAACAAAACATGAATGTACATAAAACTGGCTAAAATTCTTCCATTTTTTGGCGGTGTTCTTTGGTGATGTAGAGCAACTAGGCCTGAAAGAATGTGAAAGGTTATTTTTTATTTTATTTATTTATTTATTTTTTTTTTTTTTGGAGGGGGGGGGCTTTTTACGTTTTTCATGGCGAGTATAATCTTGCCGATCGGCTGTTTAGTTTTAAACATCTCGATTGCTTCGTTGACCTGCTCGAGCGGGAAGGTTGCCGCGATGGTCGGCTGCGCTAAACCCTGGTCGTGCATGTCGAGGACGTCAGTCACGGCTTGCCTTCAATTTGAAAATATTTAATTAACGGATTAATTAATTAATATTGACGACGCTGACCTGTAGATATCGAAGGCGTGCTTCCTATAGCTTGTAAGGGAGGCGCCGCTCAAGTTGAAAGGAGGCAGGGCGAGCAGGTGCGAGATCTTCACCAACGGCAAGTCCTGTAACGTGTAGCCGGCTATGATCACGCTGCCTTCGTACGCTATGCTTAAAAATAATAATAATAATTAAAAATTTAAAAAAAAAATGGGAATTTATGTTTATGGTTTTTATGGGTACCATTTGAGGCAGGTTTTGAGGACGTCACCGCCGAGTGTGTCATATATGACGTCGACACCTTTATCCTTGGTCAGCTTGTTGACGGCATTGACCATCTCCTGCGGGTCGTAGGACATGGACGTCCAAGCTCCACGGTCCCGGAGGAGCTGTGTATCCATCTCGTTCATGCACACTGCTATAACCTTGGACAATGATTGACTGATTATACACGGGAAAAATTTAAAATACTAAATACTAAGAGTATTGGCTGTCTGATTACAATAAGAACGACTTGGAAGAACGCTGGTACTGCGACTAATAATTAAAAAAAAAAAAAAACCAACGCTCTTTGTTCAATCTCTTGAGCAGTACCAAAAAGGCACCTAGCTGATAAACACCAGATTATTCCGTTTTATCTCGTTTATTTTTCACCAAAAAACAAAAAGTTCATAAAAGCTTTGTACCTCTTAAAAAGTATACATGCTTTTAAAATTTTGCCTAGTTGTTAATTTAACAAAAACTCAGGATATTTTTTAAATTTAAGTGTGCAGTCTTACACGGCGAGACAAAGCGGACCGTTTTTTTTTGTTTGTTTGTTTGGTCAAAACCCATGTTCTGACTCCACCTTTTAATATGGGTTGTACCTATGGTTTTATGAGTGAGTACCTTGGTTTTGTAGACGCTGGCCGCTAACTCGAGCTGAGCGAACCCGTGTCCGGGAGCTAGGGTGACCAGTACTGTCTTCTTTTCCGAAAGGTGTCCTCTGTAGACCAACCCGATGATGGCGGTGCCGAATGCGTCCGCAATGGCCGCGCCCTTCTCGAAGTCCAAGTTGGACGGGAGAAGCCAGACGTCCTGCAATATAAACATCTAAATCCGGCACAATTTCGATTATTTTTCTGTTTACGTTTTCATCTGCGACGCATTCGGTCGAGAAGCCTCCCAGGGTGTCCTTGCTGAGGGCGACGACCCGGTCTCCTTCGCGTACAGTCTTGCAGTCCTTCGCTTCCTTCACGACCCCGCTCACCTCGTAGCCCGGCACGATCGGCAGCTTGAACTTGCCCGGGTTGCTCCCCTGACTTAGGAGGAAGTCGGACGCGTTCAAAGAACAATTGTGCACGTCAATCTTGACCTAGACAAAACCGAAAAAAAAATTCACCTCACTTTCCCGACCTTAACCATACAGCTCAGTTATTATACATGATGATCAAGGCATATGACACGCCAAGGTGATACCTTTCGATAAACCATTACGAATTTTTTCAACATAATTTACAAATAAGGTACGAATACAGCATAATCAGATGAAAATGAAAGAAGCGAAAGTTCCTCAATAGTTTTTTTTGTCTTTATAAAGAAACATTTGACGTCAATATGTTTAAAAGCTAAAAAATGTGGAAAAGAGGCTTACTTTTGGTTAAAGTTGCCTGTTTTAAGTCTCCGGTTGATTACCAAGGTTGAAATTGTACATAAACAATTGTTTTCATGACAATAATCCTCAGTATTTGCTAAAACCAGTTTTTTTGGGGTAATTCGGCTTTTGAAGTAAAAAAAATAATACAAAAGTCTGGACAGTTCTTTTTCGATGATGTTCAATTTTTAAACTTCAAAAAATCTGAGGAAAACATGTTTTTGCTTGATTGTTTAAACTTAAAAAGCCCCATTTTTTGTATTTACAGGTCACCCAGCGTAATTTTGTTAGGAAAATAAGCTTGAATCTACCAAAAGTCTGGATATTATTTGGTAAAATTGTTCTTGGTAGTTTTAATTCATTTGATGTGAGGAAAAGAGGATTTTTGCTATGTTGTTTAGGCTTAGAGAGGCTTTTTGTCTTATTGTTATGTCGTAAAATCGCCTATTGAAGGTTCTTGTAAGATTGCCAAGGTTGGAATTGAAGGGAAAAGTGCTTTACCGACCGAAAGGCTAGAAAACATGGTCCTTTACCGATAATTTTTTATTTTTTATTTTTATATATATCCCTATTAGATTGGCAAAGTTGAAATTGTTAGAGAATGGAGATTTTACGTACCAAAAAACCTGTATATAATTAGGTAAATCAGTTTTTTGCAGAAGATAATCGGATTCTAAATGCTGAAAACTGAGGCAAAGAGTCGTCTTGTACACGTTTTGAGTTTAATTTGTTTCTTGTTGTTACATTGCCGAGGTTGAAATTGTTACGAAAAGAGGAAAATCTACCAATAGGCTGAATATTGTTAGGTAAAATTCTTTTTTATACGATGTTTGTTTCTAAAAGCTAGAAAAGTTAAAATCGCGTTTAAGATAAAAGGCTTTGATTTATAAAAAGTCTGGATATTAATTGAGTATGCCATCTTCCATATTTTATTATTATTTTATTTATGATTTTATAAGCTAAAGGAAAACAGGTTTTTTTAAATATTGATTTTGCTCTAGTTAAGCTGACATTTGCTTATTTTTGGTCCCCAGAAGATTGCCAACGTTAGAATTTGTTAGGAAAAGAGACTTGTATCTACCACAAACTTTAGTAGCTAAAATCGTGTTGTGATGATAGATAATAAATACCTTTACAAAGGCCAAATTCAGAAAGAATAGGGTTTTTTCTCGTTTTAAGGCCATACGACTATTTTTGGGCTCTTGTTTAATTTTCACATTGAAATTGTTAGGCAAGGAGGTTTTCAGTTATTTATAGCATGGTTATTTAGTAAAAGTGTTGTTTTTAGATCAAATTGGCTTTCCATTCGCTTTCTTTCGAGGAAAAAGGGACATTTTGTTTTGGTATTTTGAGTTATTGGTTCTTTTGGGCTGTTAGATTGGCAAGGCGAAAATTTTGAAAAGGAATTTTTCAGCTGTTAAAACCCTTAATATTATTAGGGAAAATTGTCCTTTTCAGGAATTGTCATGTTTTTAGGGTTGTTTTTAAATGTTAAATGTTTTTAAAATTGCCTATTTGTGGTCTTTGACCGTTGACAAAGGTTCGTGTTTTTTCTCGACGAACTCCATTGTTTAAAGCAACAAACGGGAGGAAAAGAGGTGTTTTGTTTGTTTTTTAAATTTGATATTTTAAATTTTAATTGGTTCTTTTGGGCTGTTTTGCCAATTTAAGAAAATAAATTTTTCTCTGCTAAAACCCCTTAATATCATTAGGTAAAATTGTCTCTTTCAGGAGATATTCGGGTTCTAAATGCTACAAATTGAGGCAGAGGCAATTTGTGGTGTTTTTAGGGTCAAATAGCCTATTTTTGGTTTTTGACTGTGAGAAGTGATTTTTTTCTCTCGATGGACTCGATTATTTAAAGCTACAAAACGTGATGGAAAGAGGTGTTTTTTTGTAATTTGATATTTTGTGTTTTAATTTTGTGCTGTTAGATTGCCAAGGCTGAAATTGTTCGGAAAAGAAACTTTAATTGACAAAAGTCAAATAATTGGTAAAATATTTCTTTTTTTAATATTGACTTTTTTGATGAAAAAGTGAGGAAACTGAAATTTTGTCATATTTTCCTTTAAAATTAATTATTTTTGGTGTCTGTTTGATATTCGCACAGAAACTGCTTTGAAAAGAGGCATTCATCCTGCCAACAACCTGGATGTTATTAGGCAAATTTGAAAAGATGCTTTTTGCCTTGATTTTTCCCCTGTTAATTTCACTACATTTGCTCTTTCAGAGATGATAAGCATGACAGTGTTTTGAAAAAAGTCCTTATACCTGACCGTTATTGGCTATAACTGTACATTTTTTACCATATTTGCTTCTAAAGCTAACACAGCAAATAATTATAAGCTTTTCATCATTAAAAGTCCATATATTAAGAATAAAAATTGTCTTCTTTTTTTTGCAAACATAAAAGAAGAGTATAAAAGAAGAGGCTTTTTTTTATCCATGAAAGCCATTCGTGGATCCTTACATCTAGGACCTTCTAGGCTGGTATGATTAGCTTCCAAATGACTAGGGAATAAGAAGAATGGATTCTATCCTTGAAATTTGTCCATTTTAGATTGATGTAAACATCCCAAAGGGAAAAATTTGTAAAGAAATTGTCTTTCATAGAGCTTGAATTAAAGTGGTACGAGGCATTAGTCACAGAGAGCGCTATGTGCCCTCCTCAGTGGTGGATTTTTTTTTTAAAATACATCTTTTATAAATTTCTTCCTTTATTAAAGATGAATTTTAACTATTCGGTCCACCATTCAACTCAGACCTAAGGGCGTTAAAATTGTTGAAAATCTTATCAGATAAAAGAAACGCATAAGGATCTAGGCAAGCCTGTTAGCAAAACTTTGGACAATATCCAAAATTCAACTGGAAATTTTTTTTTTCAATACACTTCCAATTTGGCATTAGAGCATAATAAAATAAAAATAAAGCACATTTGGATAGTTTTCAAAATGACTTCGTTGAAACGTTAAAAGAACTCGCCTTATATATAAGCCCTGGAATTTAGTGGTGTGTGGACAATCCAAATACAATAAATCTTAAAACGCAATACCATCAACAAAAAATTAATTCTTAACTATTTCAAATGAGACGAATTTCAGATTCCATGGAGTCCATTTTTAATTAAATGCATACTCGTTAAATAAAGAGCATAATTTTTCTCAGAATTCAAGAATTTTCAAATATTTTATTTTAATATTTTAGACACACAGTGACAAAAGAGATATCGTTTGTAACAGTTCAACTATTAAAAAAAAGATCCTCTTCCTGAATGATTTTTAAAAATTGACCCCCCCCCATAAAGTGTGGTCTTATGGTGGAAGTTTTGCTTACACAGAGAGCTTTGTACTAAACCCGCTGCCCCTATAATTTAAATAACTAATAATTGCAGTAACTGATCCAAAAAAGTAATTTTATTTAATTAGAATTCACTTCGGTTCGAAGAGATCTACATTGATCCGAAATGCAATTCGCAAAGAAGTTGGTAGCGAAATCGGGCCTGCCAACTCATATCAACGTTTAACCGGAAGCGAAATCATCAGGCTTACCACAATAACGTCTGCGATAAGTCGTGTACAGGTCCACCAACATAAAAATCACTCAAAGGATCATTTTTCTTTTATTCTTGAAGAAGCAAAATAATCAGGTCTACTTACCAATTAGGGTCAAAATAAGGCCTAACAACATATAAGTCAGGCCTCCTAACACAACTTTGCTTTGGTGCAAAGCCAACAATACAACCGTGAAGAACAAAAAACTCAAAACACAATATTTAAATTATAGTTAAAAAAAAACAGGGAATGGTGTACCAACGTGATATTGGGCAGAATCAATTCCAAAGCTCAAACAAATTGTTAAAAATTATTTATATTTACGCAAATTTGATCTGGAATAAAAATTGCTGCCATCATTAATGTAAGGTTCCATGGTATGAAGAAAATTTGTGAAAGATCCCGTTTGATTAAATCGGTTTTCGTAATTAATTAAATAATTAATATATTAATTGTCGTTTTGTTAATATATTAATTTAGTTTTGTCGATAGGTGCGGCTTACCTGCCCTGGTCCGATTTTGGCCGTATTGACGTTCTCCAGGTCGAGCGGCTGGCCGATCTTTTCCAGACGGGCTGCGAGGACGGCGGCACCCCTTTTTACACCGGTGTGGCCTATCCTTCGACTAAACAGGGCCAATCCTCGCCGAAAGGACATCTCGGCCGAAAAAAAGGCTAAAGAGGAAGAAATAATACAAGTAAGGCTATAAGGCGTGACTCGTGAGCCGGTTGAAACGATTGATCGCGGTAGGTTGCACAGGGTCGGCTGTCTCATAGTGACGTCACGAGCCGGGAGTGAAAAGACGGGTGATACGCACAATAAAATAAATTATTTACAGTAAATTACACTAATAATTTTTAAGAGTTGATTTTTTAAATCAAATTAATAAAATAGTTGCTTCACTTGAGTCCTTAGGGTAAAAATAGGGCTTACCAACCTAAAAACTCATCAATCAGCCTACTAGCATGGACGAGATGAGAAAACAGACCAACTTATCAATCAGGTTTGCCTTGGTGCAAAATACAACTGCTATTATCAAGTCGGGTAAAAAAAAAAAAAAAAGCCATACCATCAACTAAAAACTACTTTGCTACCGAAACATCTGGCCTACCTGCCAACTCTACTTGGTGCAAAACGGACAAGCCTTAGCAGTAAGTCCATTTTTTTCCAACTTGTGTACGAAGCATTTTTTTAACCTCTACCTTCTTTTATGAACAAAGCCAAAAAAATCCAAGTTATTTGTATAGTTTTTTTAAAGAAAGATTTCTCTTTTATTTCACGGTCAGCTTAGAAATAAATTATCTATTTGAAGAAAATATCCAAAATCCAGAATAAGCGGATTTTTCAGTTATGTATCGATAGGCCAAAAAATTGTAATGATTTCAACTGTGGTGAAAAATCATCCGCATTTTGATAGTGTTTTTTCTATTGATATCTAAACTAGATAAAATAAAATAATTAATCTAAGAAACAAACAAGGTCGTCTCCTGCAATTCATCGTTACTTTTATTTTGTGACGTCACTTTAGACCCATGGAATGACAAGACGTCACATCAAAGGAAACTTATTAACTTAATCTTTTTTTTTATTTATTTTTTTTTTATATATTTTTTATTTATTGAAACCGACGATACAAGCAGCCGAGTTAGTACTTAAAATTGTAAAATTGACGTTAATGAAAAAATAGATGAACTTAAATATCAAAGAAACGTAACAAAATGGTCTCCTGGAGTTTCAGTCCACAATTATTCCGCATTCGTTACATGATAATGAATCTTAGACCGATTGCAACCATTGGATGACGTGACGTCACTAATAAGGGGACTGTTAAATTGAGACAGTATTTCAAACTGACATCCAGTGAGCCCAGCGAGTAGTTGAGCTTATAATAATGACTTTTCATAAAAAAATAAATAAATAAAATGAACAATTGGCCAATAAAATTGAAGTTGCCTAGTGGAGTTTAATTTCATCATAATTCCCATGTTGTGACGTCTCAAGAAGTCTCGACCAATCCGATACATGTTCTATCAAGACGTCACAAAAAGGGAACAAATAAAATTTAATAATATCAAATAGTTCAATTTTTATTGAAACAGTTTTTAAATTATGAAATTTCGGATTTTCAATGTTTAACGTTGGATATTAATTTCGATCTTTGTAAGCCACCTAATTGAGTTTATTCCATAAGTTAGGCGTTTAAAAAAAAAGGAAACATCTGTAGAAAATAAAACCCATTTTGACTTTGGTATTTTATCTGTTTGGCTTTCCAAACCAACATTTTCAGCCCCGGCAACGCTGCAGAATCAGCGATAGTTTACACTTCTTTGTAGGTTTTCAAGACGGATGGATGGTTTTAAAAAAAATGTTATTCACAGTACGCCCTGAGAGATGACTTTCCTCCTAGGGCGTCCTGTGCCCACTTATAAATTAATGTATCAATTTTATTCAAAATGGAATTTTTTTGACGATTATCCCTGATCAAAAGTCGATTTGGCATTGTTTTTTTAATCGAAGAAAAATAACAATCTTCCGGTCGTTCACGGATTTTTCTTGTGGCGATACGTATTTTTGCAGAAGTGTTAACAACAGATCCGGTTCCCGTTGTGCAAGTTATTCTGCGTTTATTAGGGTTGTAATATATATATATTTTTTTTTTTGGTCCATTTTGCAACCCGTTCCGACCATTGTTACAAGACTCCAGGTCGGAAAAATAACCCAATTAAAAACACACAAAAAAGCGCGTTAATTATCACAGGGCGTTTATGCGTCGGTCCGACTTGTGAAACTACTCAAGTGGCGTAACGCAGCCGACCTGGGAAAAAAAGGAACGGGATCGACGCCGTTTCTTTCCCGTCACACACAGAAGAAATTTAATTTTGTTAAATTTAAATTCTCTTGCGCGGAAAAGGCTAATTATTCAAAAAAAAATTTGCCATTTTTTATATTTTTAGCCTTTTCCTAGCAATCAATCACTAAATTCATCCCCTGATTTTTGGTTAGATAGTCCTTTAGATTATATTTCCACCAAGGAGAAAAGGACAAAAAAAACCAATTTTATTTCATCAATGAACTAAAAATTTCGCTAAAGATTCTCACAATAACAGATAGTGGTCTTCTGGCAACAGTTTTGTTTAGTTGATTTGAATCACCCTTTAAGTAAAAATGGCGAATATTGCCTCTAAGAAATTAAAAACCTAGAGAATTTGGTGGGTGCAGCCTATTTTAGCCTTTATTAAACACTCTTTCCCACAAAAATAACCCATTTAAAGTCTGTTTCTCATCTCGAGAGAGAATTTGAATTATATTTTTTTAAACAGAAAAGCCGAAAATTTGCCACATAATAATGCCAATAATTTTTTCTTCAGGCCTCTTCGAGAATGAACTGAAATCTATTGGTAAAAAATCAAAATTTCACCCGTTCTTCTCAATGTATTTACTTAAATAATCATCTTCTCGTCTTGTATTTCTCTGGATTATGTTACTCATAAGAAAAGCCCAAAATCCGCTGGAAGGAAGGAAAATAGTCCAAGCTTTCAATGAACTACAATTTAATCGTAATTTTCATCGTCTCACCACAGGCTTTTTCACCTGTTAATCGCACAAAATAATCTTCTGGCAGCCCTAGTTTTGATTAGACTTGTTTAGAATTGTTTTGGACTGTGTTTCTTCTAAACCGAAAATGCCACAATTTTTTGGTTGCAGCCTATTTTAGCCTTTTTTCTCTTTCACATAAAAATATTCACTTTAAAGTCTTTTTTTAAAATATATTTTAAGCAAAGAAGGCTAAAATCTGCTGGAATATACCGAAAAACGAGAATGAAGTAATATGTGTTGGCCCACTTCGAATTTTTCTCTGATCTCGGGTTTTATGTATTCTTTAAACAGAAAACGGCTAAAATTTACTGCAAAAAAAATCACCAGACATCCTCTTTGAGAATGTACTTCTATTGGTAGAAAGTCCAGATTTCACCTGTCCTTCGAGGTTTATTTACCTAAACAATCAGCTTCTTGACTTGTATTTGTGAGGATTTCATTAATTATTTTCCTCATAAGCAGAAAAACCCAAAATCCGCTGGAAAAAATAAAAACTTTTAGGATTTCGAGAATGAACTGAAATTTAATACACATTCAGTGTTTTACCATTTTTTCACCTATGAATCTCTCAAAATAATCTTCTGGCAGCCCTCGTTTTGATTAGATTCTTTGGACTGACTGTTTTCAAACCGAAAAAGCCAATTTCTTAAGGAAGAAATTAAAAATACAGACACTTTCGACAGTTGTTTGCGGTCGATTTTAGCCTCTTTTTTTTCAAATTTCACACAAATATAACCACCTAAAAGCCATTTTTTAATTGATAGATTCTGTAGATTATCTTTCGTTAAAACTAAAATCTGCTGTAATAATGCCGGACATTTTCATCGATGAAAATGAACAATTGTTTATTTGAATTTTCTTCTTGATTTATTTGAAAAAATAAATATTTCCCAGCTATATAATAGTCTTTTGGATTAAGTGGGTTATTTTTCTTGGAGGCAGAAAATGGCAAAATCTGCTCGAAGAAATATAACATCTGCAGGCAGAATGAACTAGAATTTTTTTTTTAACCTTTTCTCATCTTTCGATGCTTGAAAATCATCTTCTGGAAGCCTTAGTTTTGTTTAGTTGAATTATCACCCACCCCTTAAAGTAAAAACTGGCCAACATTGGCTCTAACAGATTAAAAATCCAGAGAATTTTTTGAATCGTGTAATTTGTTGGATGCAGCGTGTTTATTCAACTCTCTTTCACTCAATTTAAAGAGCTTTGTTTCTTATCTTGATAGATATTTGAATTATATTAAAAAAAAAGAAGAGAAAATGCTAAAATTTGCTGCAGTATTTTTTTTTCTCCAGGCCTCTTCGAGAATGAACTGAATCTGTTGGTAAAAAATCGAAATTTAACTTGTTCTTGCCGACTTATTTCCCAAAATACTTATTTTCTTGGCTTGTTTTCCTGTCCATTTGTTGGTTTATTTTTCTTTTGAACCGAAAAATGCCATAATCAGCTGAAAAGAATAAAATATTTCCAGGATTTCGACAATCAACTAAAATCATTTGGTAGAAAATCCACACTTCGCCAATTCCGTTACTTGATTGTTTTTCTTTTAAACAGCAGAAAAGGCCAGAAAGATTTCGAGAATGAACTATCTATTGTAGAAAGTCCACATTTCACCTGTTTTTCTCGTTTTATTTTTCTCAATAATCAGTTTTTGTGTGAATTTATATATCTATAATATAATCTTTCTTTTATGACCAAACCGGCCAGTTTTCCTTCGACAAAACCTAATTTCAAGATTTTCCTAAATGGACTAAAAAATTAGTTGGAAGATGTCGAAAAAATGCGTTTGTAAATAACCCCAAAAAATTCCACATCAGCCTTCTTTTGTGGACAGATTCTGTGGATTGACTTTCTTTTATACAGAAAAAAAGGAAAGCTAACGGAAGAAATTTAACATTTCATATAATGGGCTAAGATTCGGACTCAGTGGCCGGTTTTTAGCCTTTTTCTCTGTTAATGAACCCATGAAAATAATCCCAGTTTCTCCAGATTTTTGTTGAAACGTCTTTCTTGCAAGCAGGAAAGGCATATATATTCCTGAATAAATAAAAATATATCAGGTTTTCTAGAGTGAACTAAGATCCATTTGTAGAACTACTTGTCTACAATTCACGATTTATTTTACGAGAAAAACATTTTCCATCCC